AGTGCTAGGATAAATATTTTTTGTAGTTTTGTAGTTTTGTGACTGCGAATCAGTCATTTAGGCCCTTTTGGGCCACTCTTCTCATCCATAAAGTGAGAACAATAGGAGAGTCTATTTCATAGGATTATTGTGAGGAGTAAATGAGATAAAACATTTAATTGCTTAAAACAGCATCTGGCACATAGGAAGCGTTTAGTGAATATGAGCTATGATTATTTTGGAATGATGACATCTTGGCCAAGCCGGTTAAACTTTCTGAGCCTTAATTTCCTCAGCTGTAGTATACTTGGTAACTTACAATGTATAATGTAGAATTCTAACAGTGTCTGGCACCTCGTAGATATTCAATAAGTGGGAGTCAATATTTTTCTTATGTGTTAGTGATACATTTCTGAACACCTGGCCTTGCTGTTTTCTCAACTTCACAGCTGGAGAAATAAACTGGCTGATGAGCGTGAGCTGTTAAACAGTTTCAGATCTTAGTGGGGGCTTTAGACACAGACTGTTTTTATTGAACAACTGGCCACAGGAGTTAGAGTGAAGAAAAAAAATCAAAACTTCATTCAAAAAAGCTTTCTCTACATGCTCCGAAGAGAGGTCTCCTCCTATTTTGATTACATTATATCAGTGCTTATCTCTCTGTTCACTCAGTAGGTTCCTATTTCTGCCCTGCAGCTACTTCTTAAATCTCTTTCACCTTTTCTTTGCCTGTCTTGCAGCTCAGAACCAGGCCTCTGTCTAGAGGGAAATACAGGAAATGTTGATTCTTCCTAGGTGAAGTCAGTCGCGTTTTGCAGCATTTGACTAGCACTCCAGATTTCAGGGAGAATCAGAGACTGAGGTGGTTCAGTGTAGATCCTGACTTGGAGACCTGCGCTTCGCTGTCTTGCACTCACTCTCAGAATTGGAAAGATTCTTGGCCCGAAGCCCTGCCCTCATCAACCTTCTCTCCCATACACCTACTTCCTGAGATGGGGACCTAATTCTCACACGGGCAGCTCATTTTGGGTGTGGACAGCTTAAGTTATCAGAAAATATCCACTACCTTGCTATACCTTTTAGAGAATGATGCTAATTCTACTTCCCTTGAAATATTTAAAGACAGAACTTGTTCCTTTTCCCTCTCTCTTCCCAAAGTCTTTGATTTTTCTAGGTTTCTGGAATGACTCTTTCCTCCTGTATCTGCCTCTCCTCTGGTTGTGTTTCAGTGTGTTTCTGTCTTTCTTGAAGTTTATCAGAAATTACATCAGTATTCTAGCACAGAGTAAAGGGGACTTTTGCCTCGCTTGTTCTGAGCAGTGTATGTCTGTTGATGCAATCCGAGGTTGCATTAGGCTTTGGACACCCATATTACACCCTTGACTCATATTCCACGTGTGGTAAACTGAAATCGTGGAGTTTTTTTAAAGAGATAGTATTGCAAGCTACTTGTTCTCCATTTCTCTATTTCTTAATTGTGCTGTTGGCTTTTTGAACTGAAGGAAAATATCTTTTTTATTTTACATATTTAGATTCCTTTTGTCATCTTGACCTACCCAAACCATTTTAGACTCTGATTTTGCCATGTACTGTATTTGCTGTTGCTTGTTTTCTCTTATCTTCTAGGAATTTGATAAGTAGCCCTCTTTGTTTTCATCCAAGTCATTGATGACTGTGGGATGAAGGCTTGAAGTTTGGATCACTGGAGACTAACAACCCCTTTAAGGCTCTTAAGATCCACTAACGTGTTGTCTTCAATGCTGGGTTGCTGAGCTCCTGCTTCTGCAGTCTACTTGGGTGACTTGTCTTGTTCTTTCCTTCAATTTGCATCTGCTAAATCCATTGGACTATCCACAGATAATTTGTGCACATGGGGGTTTCTACTCAAATACTCTCTTTTAGCCCCATGGTTTCCTGCACTAGAGCATTGCTTTATTTCCACTTATCGGATGAGACTTTGGAGGCCATTAGTTCATTTATAGATTTATAGGTTGATTAATTGAATCATTCAGCCAGTATTTCCTGAACATCTAAAATATGACAACAACTGTCCCAGGTGCTGGGACACAGAGCCGTACAAAATAAATACAGCTCCTGTCCATATGGAACTTCTATTCCAGACAGACTCTGATCCAGAAGTGGGGAATGGCTTTCCCAAGCTTTCACAGTCACAGGAGAGGATATTCTGGGAATGGTACACAGCTAAACCTCTGCTTTTCCATGCAGTTCTCTGTATACAGTGCTATCTTGTGCTAATAATCTTCCAACTGGAAAAGCCTCTAGTTTTAAGAATTAAATCATAGACAAGTCTAATTATCCTTGAAACCATCTTAATGAGAAACCCACATAGAAAACCTTATAGAGGAACCTTACCCAGTTTTCTCATCACTGGAACTTTTTGGACATTTATTATTTTCTTTCTAAACCTACAAATGTGAGGTTGAGTGGTGGCTAAAGTAACGTTTGGGAGTCAATGAGAAGAGTATTCATTCTTTGTAAGTCCCTATTATGACAGCAATCTAATGGACATATAAAAATTACAAATTTTCAGAAACTCTAGAAAAAGTGACAGGTCTACATTCTGTTTCTGTGAGGTGCAGACTCTCAAGTGGTGTTTCTCTGACTGAGTTTTGTGTGGCATCTGAGATGATTTCAGGTGGTACACAGATGACAACTTTTAATTTTAACCCGCATCAAATTGCAATTTCATGGGTGTTATTGCTTAGGAGAATGTTAAATAGAAAAAAATGAGTTAAAGTTAATTTAAAGAAGACATTTTATGTGGTTTATGGTAAAAATTATGAGAGTAGTTTATAAATGGAGATTGGAAAACACTGGTATAAGAGAGTTTGGGGCTTTGTATTAAGATTCTTTTAGGGAACAAGTTCAGGTTCTGACTCTTATTATGTGTGAATCTTGGGCATGTTTTGATTCTTCCTGACCCCTAGTTTACCTGAAAAATGGAGATTAGCTGACCCCTGAGTCCTTGAGCATTAAATCAGATGAAATCTGTGGATGATTGATGGCAGGGGCAGAGCACGTAGTTGACACACAATAAATCTTGAGTCCGTTTACCTCCCCTTCTCTTCCTGGCTGACTCTGGTTTAGCCAATTTGTTTAGCCTCCCTGAGCTTCAACTTGCCTTGCCTCAAAATGGAGACTTTGCAAAAGAACCTGAAAATGTTTCATCTTGGAAACTTGGCCATTATTTGAATGAGGGGATCACCTGGGACTCATCCGTGTTGTGGGCTGTCCCCTACACTGTAGCCCTTGAAAGCAGGACTGACCTTTGCTCATGGCTTTATCCTAAGCATCAGTAGCAGGCACATGGTAAGAAATCAGTGAATCTTAGTGGGATGAAGGTGAGAGAAAATACCCACCTTTCACAGAGTATTTTAAGGGTCAAGTGAAAGTACTTTGAAAAGTATGAAATCCCAGCACATGTAGTTGATTCCCTTTGTGAACCCATGTCGACAAGGCTCTAAATTAAGAATAATGACAAAAATTCCTAAAACTGCCTTGGCTTGCTTTCTTTCCCAAGGCTTACCTTCCAGAACTTTACTGGAAGAGCTGCCATAAACCCCGAGGCCTGAAGTGGATTTACTGAGAAGCTTAAAAAGTTGTACTTTCATAGATCCCTTTTGAGGCCTTGGTAGGGATTTTAGCAATCA